TTACTTCGGGATAGCTAGTCCCCGAACAAAAATAAACGAATGGGAACCAAATTTTCCTTTTGGTTTTCGTTGTAGCAACCAGGTTGATCCTGGAAGCCTAAAATGACGAAAAAGCGATTAGAATACAACATGAAAAAAAAAAGTTTCAGTCCTGTAAGTCACATACGTCTTAACTCAACACCGCGACAAGACCTCGTATGATTGCGGGATTAGAGAGAGAGTGAGTGTAGGGCGAACAGGGGAAGGAAGGAGGAAAGAAAGATTTTAAAAAAGAGACAATTCCCAGAACGTTCCCACATTTTTCACCCATAATCAATATCGTGAGGACAGTAACAGGCCCTTTATGCTAGGGACAATGTGATAGTCTTTATGCGTGGTATTGTTTGCTTGTTTTTGACTTAACGAATTTTTTTAGGTGCAACCCACGCTGCTCTCCTCCTTTAACTCGAGCTCTATTCCCACTTTCAGCAGTCATTCTTCATCCATTTTTCCTTTTCTCTTCAGCTGTATCAAGCTATACTGGAAATATTATCGGACGAAGGAAAACAGAAACCGAATAGCGAACGTATTCGACAAGTTTTCCGTTTGTTGGTAAAAGTTGGAGTTGAAAGAACACACGCAGATGTTAGGAATCCGGAACGGCAATATGTTGGTCAAGTGCTGTGCCGGTGCCTCCAGCGTAACGATATTAAAGAACATGCTCTCAGAGGGTTAGTTTTTCGTTTTTAATTTGCCAAATTAATGCTTATTTTTTCATAAAAACCCGAAAAAAAGATTATTTATGAGTAATGATTTTTTGCTTAGTTTGCTAAGAGAATTGGTTAATTCCTAAGTGAAATGGTTCAAGTGGAATCAGTCCCCCAGATCGCCGGATTTGGATGATATTTTTTTAAAATTTGGATTAACTTTTTGCAGCGTAGCAGACTACTGTACCGATGTGGTCGAAACGGAGCTATGGGAGGATTATTGTCGAATATGGGAATATATTGCGGAAGTAATAAGCTGGTCGATTATGTGTGAAGTGCGGCATTTCGAAGGTCCAAGGCCTTCACTGGGTGATTTTAAGGCTGCATTCAGAAGCGCAGATGCCGATATACGGGATCCGAGCCCTCTCCTAGTTCATGTACTCAAACGACTTGTAAGTGGTTTTTTTTTGCTTCTTTCAGCTGAATTATTCAGGTGGACTTGTGACGTTATTCCTCGTTAGAGCGCTGCAACAGGCGGCAAAAACTCATATTGCGACGACTCTGCCTGAAGTGTGTGTGTGTTCTGTGCAGAGGTGTTTGTATTCAGCGGCAACGCAAGCTTTGAAGCTGAAATTTTGCCAATGTGTTCCATGACCAAGTGCAACCTCAGGGACGTGATATCAAATGTCACGCGCGTCTACATCCCACATGCGGACACGTGAAAGTTTTGGCAGGAAAATTGCTAACTCGGGAACGTGAAAAGCTGACGGATTTGAGAGCATCCGCGAAGACAAAATAGGAAACACGATTTCACCGGAGCTTCTTTGATTCCTTTTTTTTTTGTTTTTAAGGTGCTGCTAATGCTAAATCGTATTGGCACTTACATACGCACATTATAGTAATAAACAGTACTATGGTGGTTTTTCTCAGGCACATGTACAGTTTAG